TGTCTTAGGAACAGCTGTCTGTATATGGGTCTGTAGAAGACATTGTATCCTTAAAAGAAATTGTATAATGGTGGAGACAGGAAGCTATTAAGAAAAGCTAGGTATAAAGAAAAATTTGTTTCGTTTTGATAGATTAAAAATAACCATATTTATATTGGATCAACTAAATTGTATATCAATTCCTGTTGTGTAGGCAATTTTACAGAACCCAATTTATACTCTCATTAGAAAATATCCTTAAAGGTAAGGTCTACGGAGTATTCTGAATTAGAAACCTACGATACTACTACTGAGCTAACTTGCCTAAGAAACTAATGAATAAATCTCATATTCATAGTTGTCGGATCAGTCTTGACGAGTTACCACGTGTAAAAAATTTCTCTCGCGTGGTTACTCGTGAAACTTCCTAAACCTTTTTTCCGAGTTTCCAAACTGTTTTTAGTTAATACTTCGTGCCGGGGAACAAGATGATTCCCAGGCATATTCCTATATTTTATTCCATTCATTTGCTCAATAAAATATTGCACAAAATCCAATGAGATATGTTTACAAGTATCAATACTAAATAGCTCAATGCTCAAATTGATTTTGTATTTTTCGATAGTTTTAGTTTAGAATACTATAATGGAATATTTTCCGCTTGTATTCTGACAGAATAAAGCTTATATCAAATAAAATACCTCACTGTCAAATCATCCAAGTTTTTAGTAAGGTAAAAACAAATAATTTAAGTTTAATACTTACACAGCGTCGCTGATCACTAGTCTGATATCGGAGAATAATGAGAAATAGTTTAATAATAAGAATAACTAACAAATGCGAAACAGATTGGATGGTTTGATGGTGAGGTATTTTATTTACTCGCCAAAGACTATAGATTGACTCAACATATGATAAATCGAGACAAGAGGACTGCCCACTGGAAGTCCGTTGATTTGATCATACTTCAACCATTTATCATATGTTTCAGCTGATTGATGTTTTGAACAGTATTCATTTTTGACCGCATAAATCTTTTCCCAACACCGAGATTGTATGATCGCTACGCCGTCACCCCGATATCATCTTTTACGGCTGTTGTTATTGTCGTTGATGATTCACGACTTGATATTTTATTGTACTGAATATTATTATACGACGTAATGCCAGACCAATCAATGTTTTTAGCTGATATTATATTCGGAGCAATGTTACTGGCATAAATAACCACATTTTTTTGTTTGACTGGATGCATCAACAAATTCTTTGGCATTGTTACAATCATATTTTTCATTCACATATCGATGAATATTACATTTAATTACCGCCGCTATCCGATCGCACGGACCTTTACCTGATTGAGGGTCTGAAAAATCCATACGACGAATGAAAATGCCGTTTGATCGTATAATTATTCTACAGATAATAGGACTTTTGCTCCATCACATATTCCGAAATACCATTTAGTCAAAGAGAGGTGGGAATTTCTTAGTTATCGCTTTTTTCGTTCTCTCACAGTTTCTTTTTTTCTCCTTCACAGAAGCTTTTTTCTCTCTTTATCACTGTTCTGTTGCACGTATTCACTTCAAAAAGCCTGATGAGATTTTGCAAAATTAACTTTCATCCTTGCACTTCGATCCTGTGCCGGCATAATGGCGGGAAGGTTGGTTTTCTCATGGGAGCTCTCTTAAATGCAACATCTTCGTATGGTATTGGGGAATGTATATCATAATGCTTTTTATTATTTTGATTCCAATCATAACCAGTATAAACTTTATTAAATACTCGAGGTTTACGTGGTCGATATTTATCCGACCATAAAGATAGAACATCTTGAGGGACAACAGTATCAATTAATGTCTCATCAGCTGTTAAACTATCCACACTTCTAGCAAAAGCATCTTCAACATCAGTTTGAACAGAAACAGATTTAATAAAACATTCACGTTGTTGGTCTGATCTATCACAATCATTTGCTACATGTGCACATTGTTCTTGTAATTCATCACAATTAGCTACTACTTCTACACATTGTGGTTGCATTTTCAGATCAGGATCATTAATATTAACTAACATAGGTGAATAATGACTTTGTTCATAATTACGTTTTTATCTTCCAAATCTTAAAATGATTTAATTTGATTATCATTAATTAAATCAACTTGATTATTTTTATTCTCTTTTTCCTTTCGCGGTATTGGGAAAGTTGAAGAGAGTTTTGATGGACTTGATAGTTGAAAGCTTTAATAATTTCAATCTGGAACGTGGACCAATCAAGAATATTAGATTTATAGAATCTAAACCACGTGGCAGCAGTCTTTGTTAAATACGATTGTGCAGCTATATATTTATTTGAGGGTCGTGGTTGTGCTCGATTAAATATTAACTATGGCAGCCGTTAGCACCCGTGCAAACATGGCAACCTTTACCGCTTATACAACCATATTATCCGCAAGCACAACAACATTATTTTTAAGCACGCGTGGTGTCTCTACAGTGAACTTTTCAGTGGTATATCCGATTACCAGACATTTGGGCGGCGACGTTTGGGCGCGCGCGACATTTGGGCTCGAACGACATTTGAGCGCGAACGACATTTGGGCGCAGCGACATTCGAGCGCATCTACGACAAAAGCAGACAGAAGTAGTGTGCATTTGTTAACGTATGCTGCAAAACGATAAAAGTCTCTTTAACCAAACTTTTTATGCTGTGAGAGCTTTTTCTATAGTACTCATATCCAACTGTAACCACTGTTTCTTTAATCTTCATCGTTACTCACACTCACCCTCACCCACACCCACACCGCCGTCTTTGAACTTCAACTATCGTTGCGCCCAACTGTCGTGCGCCCAAATGTCGTGCACTCAAATGTCGTTGCGCTCAAATGGCGATCTACCGGTATATCCAGTCAAGAATATACCGGAATTCAATTAATAAAATCGATCAGACTTCTATTTATCGTGTTTCTTAAGAAAACAGATCTTGAATAATAGAGCAGAAACGATTACACGGTAACAGAGTTAGTTTAATAAACCTGATATTAAACTCTGTTCCTGATTTAAGCAAACAGAGTTTCCACTCTTTCCAGATTCAAGATTAAAGCTGCTTTAAAAATTTTGCTACTATCGGTTAGTCTCGTCAGCCTTTCCCGCAATAGAAGACCCCTTTGCGGAAACCATGCGTCAGACTTAATACAAGAGTTCTCTTACTTAATTTTTTGAGTCCCAGTGACAAGCATCCTTGCCACCATTCGAGAATTTTCAAATTTTCGAGAAGTTTTAAGAATCTTGAAGAAATATTCTCAATAAATATTATAAGCTAGCAGAGATCCGTACAATACTGTACAGATTATAAGGCGAGAGTTCAAATCTAATGTTGATTTTGAAAAAAAAATGGTCTAAAACAGGGAGAAGTGCAATAAACTTTAAAAACCACGTTTGTGGAAATCCTGTAACTACTCTCAAAAACTTCTCTCTCCAAGACAGGCAGTTTTTGTAGAACTAGTGCATAAACAGATCATTTTTCGAGATCTGATTTTCTTAGCGAGCTTCGATTCTAGACTAAACATTTTTTTCACAGATTTATCTCGTAGTTAACTAATGTATATGTGGCACTATTCAAATTGTCTCAACCTCACTATTTTATTTTTTGTCAACTGGTTGCTTGATTGCTCACTGTGTAGCTGTGTTTCTCTATTCAGAGTAAAAGAAATACTGTTCTAAGAGAAAAAAAGTAAAATTGTGTTTATTAAAAGAAACAAAGAAAGAAGTTTTCTGTTTATAGCAAGTTCTTTTGAATATAGACAACAACAAAGTAAATGTTAAAAAAACATCACAAAAAACTAAAAAAAAGAGGAGATGAGTAACGTCAGCAATCAATGATTTGCTTCACCACCATGAATAACTTTTATTGGGTCCGACACCTGTCCTTTTCCATATTTATTCTCTGCTAACAGATGCAACTATGGAATAGCCAACTCTCTCAACTTATCTTTATTAAGTTGGTCCAGACGTCTATTATAAACGAACTGCTCAACTGCAACAGGTAGTAACTGAGCCAGCATCTCTTTGATTTCTTCGTATGAAATTTGTTTTTGACCTTTATCAAGTTCCGCTTCATAGGCTTGTAGAGCTAGAAGAAAGAAAAAAGCTTATGTTAGAAAGTTTGGCAGAGAAAGAGAAATACCATGATAAGCAGCTTCCGGAGCAATTGATTCATGTTCATCTTTGCTTTTTTCTTCCGAACTTCTTTGGTCAATCCAAGAGGGAATTTCACCGGGTACATAATATGGTGCTGGTTTATTTTTATGCAACAGATTGTAAAAATAAGCCATTTTTTTGAAGAAGTATAAATAAAATGACAAAGAAATATTTTCTTCTTCTTATATTTGTAAGAGGAAAAGAGAGAGATCATTTTAATGAATAAGTATCTAAAGCACATATTACTTCTTTCTCTCTCTGTTCTTCCTGTTAATACGAAAAACAATATTTAGACAAGAAACATTTGAAGGCTTTTCTTTCTTAGTGATGATATGAATAATATTTGTTTTTGATTAACAGGGGCGGCGCGAGCGGCAGGGTTGGGGAAGGGTACCCCTCCTGCTTTTGGAACTTTATCGGCAGCTCTCTTCCGCTTTAGAGAAAAATTCTGATGAATTTTCTCCTAAATTGGAGAAAGTTTCTAATGAATTGTCTCCGATTTTGGGAGAAAGTCTCTACCGAAATTTTATCAATTCTGAGAGATGGTTTCTGACGAACTTGACTCAAACTGAAGGAAGTTTCTGATAAAATTCTCAAATTTTAGAGAAATTTTCTAATGGATTCTCTGTAATTCGTGGAGAGTTAAACTGTACCTTACTCTCACATTGGGGGAACTGGTAAATGCTCTACGGGGTATTCTGAATTAGAAACCTACGATACTACTACTGAGCTAACTTGCCTAAGAAACTAATGAATAAATCTCATATTCATAGTTGTCGGATCAGTCTTGACGAGTTACCACGTGTAAAAAATTTCTCTCGCGTGGTTACTCGTGAAACTTCCTAAACCTTTTTTCCGAGTTTCCAAACTGTTTTTAGTTAATACTTCGTGCCGGGGAACAAGATGATTCCCAGGCATATTCCTATATTTTATTCCATTCATTTGCTCAATAAAATATTGCACAAAATCCAATGAGATATGTTTACAAGTATCAATACTAAATAGCTCAGTGCCATAACCAATAATTTTTTATAACTATTGATTGAATAATTGGTTGATTAAATAACAAGGTGTTGTTGTGTTATGCTACACTAATGAGATCAAACTAACTTGCCAAAATTACCGTTCGATGATTTGTCCTATCACTTCTGGATGCGCGCCACTTTAGAGGACGATAAAACTAGTGGCCAAATGCCACAGGAGAAAAGGTGAACTTTTTGTGGAGATACGCCTAGTACTACACGAAAAAAGATGAACTTCTTGTTGGGAAAGACCAAGTGCTTCAGAAAGAAACGTGAAGTTCTTGTGGAGAAACACCGGTTTATCCGCGAAAGAGCATTAAGTTCTTGTGGACAAACATCGAGAAGATTCATGAAGTTCTACTACAGAAAGATCGGTTTCTTCAGCAGGAAACATGAAGTTCTTCTGGAGAAACGTCTGCTCCTTAACCAGAGAACATCAAGTTCTTGTGGCGAAAGATCGACTTCTTCAGCAAAAAATGTCCTTGTGCCGAAACATCGGTTTCTTCTGGAAAGAGCATTAGGTTCTTGCGGATAAACATAGGTTTCTCCGCGAACGAAGATGAAGTTCTTGTAGTGAAACATTGATTCCTTCGCGAAACAATTTGACATTCTTTTGGCGAAAGATGGACTTCTTCTACAAAAAGCAGACGGATCGGTTTCTTCACGGCAGAATCATGAAGTTCATCTGGGGAAACACCAGTTTCATCGCGAAGGAACATGAACGAAAGAGCATGATCAGAAACATCGGTTTCTCCGCGAAAGAACATGAAATTCTTGCGGATAAACATCGGTTTCTACAGGAAGCACCATGAAGTTCTCGTGAAAAAGAAAATAGTCCATTAAGAATTAGACAAATAGATAAAAAGTGACTCACAATGTTCACGATAAGAGTTGTTATTGTTAAAATATTAATCGTTTTCAGTTAATTCGACTCCTTTTTATCAGCTGATTCTAAAGCATCTGGTTTATTACCTTTAAGGATATTTTCTAATGAGAGTATAAATTGGGTTCTGTAAAATTGCCTACACAACAGGAATTGATATACAATTTAGTTGATCCAATATGAATATGGTTATTTTTAATCTTTCAAAACGAAAATCGCGGTGTCCCTCAATGGTCTATTTTGGGTTCTATCTTGTTTTTAGACTACATTGACGATTTCGGCTCAGACATGGGGTGTATCACCAGAAAGTTTGTTGATGATACAACAATGTCTCATTGCGATCACGACCGGACGAAAGTAACAGTTGATATGAACAATGATCTTAAAAAAGCTTATGATTGGTCAGTGGAATGGCAACTACCTCTAAATATTGGCAAATGCTTCTGTATGCTATTCTCAAGAAAATCCTCTAATCTGCCTGTTGTCCCTGTTTCTATTGGTACAACACAACTTGACTTCATTTCGGAGCATAAAAGTTTAGGCGTTGTAATATCAAAAGAATTAAGTTGGAAAGGCCACATAAAATATATTACTACTAAATGTTATAAAATAATTAACTTATTGAAGTTCCTCAAGTATAAACTGTCTACAACTGTCCTTGAACAGATTTATAGTTCATTTTTTCTACAAACATTAGGTTATGCCGAT